GGCAACCAAGCCTCCTGCTTGCTCCAGCTCTGTGGCTGCCGGCCACCATCTTGGTTGGGTTAATTTGCATATAGTGACTCTGATTGGCTGGTGGGCATGGCTTAAGGCATAGTGAAGGTGTGGTCAATTTGCATGTTTGTCTTTTATTAGTGTAGATTAGTGTGGCTATGTGCTGATAAAACTTTATTTACAAAACAGGCCACAAGCAAGGTATAGTCTTCAGGATATAGTTTGCTGACCCCTGTAGCAGACTATTTGGTGCCTGAATACTCAAACATGAGTTCACAGCTTTCACATTAACAAACCCCATTAAATGTTACCCCTACTAGGTGTCAAAAATCAAATAAAGTCATAGTTAGGATCCATAAACATGAATTTTACCCAGAAAAGGAATCTTCTTTGCCCTTGCCCAAGAAATCGCCTGGAGTTTGCCCAATGTTCCTCTGATTCCGAAGCCTCCTGGCACCAGAACACCACTGCAATCAACACACAAGATGAGAGTGAATTTGACATTATTTTTATTTTTGAAACTCTTATTTTCAGCCTTTCATGCTTACTCATCCCCAATCCAACATTAGAGCATACGCTTGAGGTCTGTATTCAGAATTGATTACATGCTCTGACATCCTGAACTTTCTTCTTGAAATCTTCCCAATGTATAAAGAAGTTGCAACAATTTCACACAACTGACCCTAATATATATATTTTTCTGATAGGTCTTTGTGGCATGAGCATAGTGACTGAGACCTCAATTCAATTTAAAATGTCATAGCCCAGCTGGCATGGCTCAGTGGTTGAGCATCAATCTATGAATCAGAAGGTCACAGTTCGATTCCCAGTCAGGGCACATGCCCAGCTTGTGGGCTCGATCCCCAGTATGGGGTGTGCAGGAGGCAGCCGATCGATTCTCTCTCATCATTGATGTTTCTCTCTCTCTCCCTCTCCCTTCCTCTCTGAAATCAATAAAAATATATTTAAAAAATAAATAAAAAGCCATGGTTTATCTGAATAAAAATAGGTTAGGGGTTTGTACTGTTTTGTTTGTTTTTATTGATTTTTTTACAGAGAGGAAGGGAGAGGGATAGAAAGTTAGAAACATCGATGAGAGAGAAACATCAATTAGCTGCCTCCTGCACACTCCCTACTGGGGATGTGCCTGCAACCAAGGTACATGCCGTTGACTGGAATCAAACCTGGGACCCTTCAGTTCGCAGGCCAACGCTCTATCCACTGAGCCAAACCAGTTAGGGCAGGTTAGGGTTTTTTTTTTAAAGCATCTTATAAAAATGTTAAGATCTCTTACATAATTAGAAAGAGTTAATCTGGTAAAAATCAGCCTAATATTTCAATTGCTAATTAAGTAGGGGACATAAAATTTTCACTTTAGACACCTTCTATACAAACACTTATTTGAAAAGACAAAACTTCAAGAAAAAATCCAGGAAGGTCATGCTACCCTCACAATACAATGCTACCCCCAAGAGTTCTGTCAATTACTTATATAATAAAAATGAAAATAAAATTATGTGGAAAAGAAAATATAACCAAAAGTGAAGGGTTGTCATGCTTGCACTTTAAACTTTGTGTACGATCCATCTCTGCATCTTTCAGTACAATCAACACACTCTCTCTAATACAGGATGCCCATTTTTCCCCCAAATAAAACCAGTTCCATTGCAAGTGCCACTAACATTAACATGGCACATTGAAAAGTAAATGCGACAGTTGGAGAAAGATAAATATAACATGATCTCAATCATTTGTGGAATATAATGAGCACCATAAA